CGCAGCTGAACGGATTTAAAAACCCAAGCGTGCCGGAATAATTTAATTCCGCGCAGTAAGTTACTTCATTGCAATTAAATATTTTACCTCGGCAAATACAGTGTATAAAACGGCAAATTCGTCGAACCGGAATTCATTACGCGCAAAAATAAACCGATACCGCGTCGCGTCGGTTCGAGAAATGTTTGTCGAAATAATATGCCTGGGAAATTATGACGGTCTCATTGGTCCTTTGGAAATTTTGCAATGGAAGAGGAGCGATGTCCCGAGTCGAAATTGCAACAACGTCGTTTATGGCAGATGCGCGAGTAAATTCACGGATGATGATGCGCGTTGCAAAATATCATCGATCTGCTTAACGTGCTAAACAGCGAAATGCACGCAAGCCGATTATACAATTATCTAGGCAATAAATCGATATTAGGATCGATATACAATTAGTTTCGCCATGTTGTTGGACTTTATGAGAAGTTCAATAACCGTTTGAATTAGTAAATATTGTAGAGCAGTATCTATCTAACAAGTATCTACGAAAACATTCAAGAATCCTCTTTGAAAAAGATTTTACACAAAATGCAAGAACGACGTACTAAATTATTTAACAAATAAATGTTTGCTTAATTAAATATCGATAATCTGAGAATAATTGTTAGAAGAGAGTAAAAAAGCGAGGTAAAAGTATATAAATATTTTTTATAACACTTTTTACATATTTTCGATAAACTAAGATAATAACTAAATTACCTATCACTTTTGCAAGATATAAATTTTCTATAAAACAGTGAAAAAACATGTCACGAGAGGTACAAAAATAAAATCAGCAGTATAATCTTATTTGCGCAAAATTAAGGTAGAAATCGCGGAAATAAGTATTTGTCTTGAACATCGTTGGGGGGGAAATGTATTAGTTACGATAAAATAAAACGCATTTAGCGAAGAATACAGGGATATGCGTGTGCGTTCAAGCGTGGATATTTGCACCAGCGTAACTTCGATGCTGCAGCCTCGAGATTCCTTCAGCACCTTTCAGCGCGTAATCCTTAAGGTGCAACTTAGGGAGAACGCGAGCGCGAAATTTACTCGTGTCGAATCCGATACGCTCGGCGCGTATCGCGCCAAAACGCGTATCTCTCGACTGCGATATAAGTGCACTTCACCATCGTCTTTGCGAGCGTTGCTACAATAACGGTAACGATCATCGAAATAACAAGAAAAACAGCATCGATAGAGATCAGCTCGATAAATACGATGCGCAACCAGCCGTATACATCGAAATCGTCGATGAAAGAAAGTGCAAGTGCAACGCGCATATGCGACTCCGCGGAATATTAATACCGATAAACAGCTGATCTACGATAATTATCGCGTACATTATTTTCATTATTAAAGACGAGGAAATTAATAACGCGAATATTAATTAGTATTATATATGATCGTTTCAAATAGTCTCATTTTCGAATTAATCAAATACGCGGTTAGATAAGTTTTAATTAACAATTTAATTTAACCTATTAAAATATTTAATATTAGATTTATTTTAATATAGAAAATCTATCAATATCGACGATTTAACATTGATATTAATCGAGATTATATAATTTTCCAGCGATGGGCAGATTTTGCATATTAAATATATTAAAATTTAATCTTATTCGCGCGTTGACAAAGCACTTATTTATAACATACATGTATAAAACAACTGCTCACGTATACAATCCTTTCGACGGAAAGAAAAGTGTTAGGTATTAATTCGAAATTTCGTTACTGGAAACTCACGCGGAAATCCGATTTATTGGGAGCTTCAGTTTGCCGAATGTCGGCAGCTTTGGTCGGAAATTCGCGAGCGCGCTTCTCGCTGATGTTTGTCGCGTGCGAACCGTCCATCCGTGCAATAATCGCGGATCTTATACGCGCGCTTTCGAAACGCGTCTGCAGCCGTGCGAAACGGCTCGGTCGGGTGCATCCGAGCGTAAGCAATAATTAGCTTAATTAATCCGGTTGGTCTGGCGCGGCGACTGATAATTCGGTACAATATTAAAGCGACATTAGTCGATACACGATCCTGACGGCTCGACCCTTCTCCGTTCCAGAGATGTTGCCGCTCCTAATATCCTAGTGGCGCCTGGAAGTCGTCCAATTAAACGCAGCTTCTGCGCGACGCCGTCCCATAATTGCGTCTAGATTCGCTCTTCTCTCTCTCTCTTCTCGTCGGGAAAACGGATATTTCTAACTTTCGAACAAGACGCTGCGTGTACGCTAATGCGCTTGTAAGTTCCGGTCTGCCCGAGAGAAAGAAAGGGAGAAAGGCGACGATTATACGCGCGTTAGACGGGAACAGGAAATAATTGTGATCGATGGAATTTACAGAAATTTTGAAATTTTCTTGCACAATAGATTGTCAAATAATACAATGATAAATAATAAGATTGACTCAAAAGAAAAAACTGATTTTTCGATCCGCGAAATGAATAAGTTTTCATAAATATAAGTTCTTCCCAAAAGTAATTTTGTTCTTTTTTTAATTGTTTGCAAACGAAATTTGAATCTGAAAAAAGAGATTAACATCGGAATATTACCATTAAATGTGATATTTATTTTTTCGAAAAAAAATCACGATAGTTATTCGCTCTAAATTGGAAGCTCTGAAGTGGAAGCATGATTCGCATGGAGCTTCAACTACCGACTCCGTTCTTTGCTCTTGGCGTTAGATCCGATTTGATCCCCGCGTCATAAGTACGCGAACCGAAAGGATACCCCTCTGGGAGACAAGTATTCAATTACAATAATAACGTCGATTTACAAAAGAATCGACTTCAAAGGCTTTACTTGGCGACGCGCGTCGTCGTTGCTCGTGAGGCAATGAAAAGAAAGAGACGAGGGAAAAGACAGGAGTGAGCAAGCAAAAAAGAAATAAAGAGAGAGGCATAGATAGAATAAACGTGGATCAAGGGAACGAGAACAAGGAAAGATCATGGTGTGACGAGAGCGCGAAAGATTCTCTCTTAAGGCAAATTTATACGATTCACTCTGGATGATCATTCCGGATGAGTCTTTCTTGCAGCGAAAGAAAGTGAATCGTGGAAAAATAGCATTTCCGCAAAAATGTTTAAAATTCCATTTTTGCTCGTATTTAAATAATGACCCGATGATCGTGCAAAAAGTAAAACACACATAAGCTGGAAACTATTTCCTGAAGTATGTGAGAACACAATATTATGCAAAATATTTTACAATTTTTTATAAATCTTAATGTTAAAGAATACGGGTTAATTTAATATATCATAATCTTGAGAGATATTAAAAAATTATCGCAAACGTAGTTTAATAGAATAGATATTCTAGAGTAATATATCAATGATTAGTATTATCATTTAATGTAATACGTTTTAAAAAGAAAGTAGCCACGTGTCCTCGTCACTTTGCATCTTTTTTAAAGTCAAGAATAAAAATGCATCGGATTACATCAGGTAATTTAATATGGTTTGAATAAAAAATTTGATCATCAGGAATGTAAATCGTGTAAATTCGCTTTTAGAACCGATAAGTCAGAAAGAAAGGAGAAGGAAAAAGAAAGACACGTTCTTCGAGGGAAGGTGAGATCCTGGCGAGAGCGAATGGGTGAAAGAAAAGAGGGGGAGGGCGATATGCGTCCGTTTTTTGTGTTGGTCGCGTCGATGCCTCTGGGATTATATACGACGTCCAGTGACAATACGTTTCTCAGATCACTATCGGGCCGCTATTGTCGGCCATTAAAAATACCTCTTCAACATTTATTCGGCAAATAAATCTTAACCCGATGGAATGCGGCCCCACTGTCCTCTCCCGGTTCGATAGGCTCCCTTGTCATCCGGCCGTTTATACTCGACCGTATGCAACCGGAAACAAACGGCCGCGTCGTGTCAACCACCTGGGCGGAAATTAATTTTATTATACGATCGGTCGCGTGCTAATCATCGAAAGAAATCCTCGTTCGATGCATCCGCTATAACTTTTTTTCTCTTTCCGCGTATTCCTCTAGTAACAAGATGTTATTACGATGCATCATTTATTACTTTTTTATAGCTTCAAAATTAAGGAATACATGTAAGATTTTTATACACATAAAATTAATATTAGTGGTTTATATAAATATTATATTAGTGGTTTTGATCATAAATGCTACATTTAAAACTTGGGAAATTATTATTTCCTCAAAATATATTTGTCAAATTCTACCCTGCTTTCGAAAAGTATGCACCCTGCTTTAAATGGACTTTAAATGGATTCGCAATTACCGCCAGTATTACGTGCAAAATAATGTCAAGTGCCGAGCTTCGAGATGCCAGGAGGAGAGAAGAGAGAACAGAGGGAGGAAGGTAGTCACGTTTTCTCACGTTAATAACGTTAGCAACGCTCCGGCGTTGCTTGTAGCAATCATAACTGTATCCTCGCGAGCAGGATGTGTGCGGTGCCTCGCGCGGCCGCGGCTTCATCAATAATCTGCCAACCTTATAGTACCCGCATGCAGACAGTGTAATATCGGCCTAAGTAGCTGCGCAAGTATGTGTGCGTCTTTCGTGTAGCTTTGGCGGACGATAAACGCCGGGTGTGTGAAGGAACGGCGGTCCGACAGCATTGTGGAAATAGGAAATTTGCTCGTGTGGATTCCACGAGGATTCTGCAGCCGAGCATTCCGAGCGAACTCTTGAGTCACGTGCGTTCCTCTAGTGCTGTTTTTCTCGCAAGAATAAATTTCGCTAACCAGACTATACGCGATGATACAAACACAAGGACGTTACTTGTATATATCCCCTAGCTTTTTAACGCTTGATTTGAATAAAATTTTTGCTCATTTTTAAAAATAATATCTCATTTTGTAAGCATAAAATTATCGAGAATATTATTACAGATATTTCAGATTATTTAATTACATCATCTTTTATATACGATTCATATGACAAACAAAAATTTTACACATATAATACATATACATGATTAAATATATAAAATAAATCCTGCAATATACAACATATGCATGCATCACTTGTAGAATAATCAAGTTTATTTTTTCATAAACGACATTTATTTTCGTATGCACTTGAAATAAGATAACAAATAGCTTTTAAAGATAGAAAGACAAAAGGGAAAAAGTGTATATTATCTAAATAGTCTAAAAAGAAAAGTGCATATTATCTAAATAGTCTAGAAAGAAAAGTGCATATTATCTAAATAGTCTAGAAAGAAAAGTGCATATTATCTAAATAGTCTAGAAAGAAAATACACAAAGTGCTGAAAAGATTCATTACGAAAAAGATATGTCCAATTTCTTTCGCGTACTTTTTTCCCGGAGTTAAAGACTAGAAATGGCCTGTCAAAGAGAGTGAGGTCAGTCGATGGATCGTCGCGACCTCATCCGCAGCTGGGATCCACGACGGGCGTTTAAAAGATGCGATAAAAAAGATGGCCTACTTCGTGAGATCTCTTCGTGCCGCTTGACGCCGTGAAATTCGATCGAACTCGTGGTGTTACAAGATCAGACGGTAGGCGTGTTCGACAGGGAGAGGGACGCTGGCAAAGGCAAGGCTCCTTCGATCCAGCGGTTCCCAAACTTTTCGGCCTCCTTTGAATCTTTTGGAAGAATTGATCCTTTCCCGTCATTTTCAGCTGATCAATACAAAGTAGCATTCGGAATCTATGGCAGAAAAGATTTATGATTGTATTTCATTTTACATTTATATATCGTATAGCAATTTTTTATAGTGCTTCATGTATAATATAGTGATTTTTTAAATATCAAAGTTTTGTGCAAATATGTATGTAAAATTCTTTTCAATCGATAAGTAATGCAGACTCTGCAATTAATCTGCTGAAGTTATTCTGTTAAACATGATGTAGGAATTATATTGGGTATGCAAGTTACTTTATTAAATTAAAATTATTCGAATGGTATGTTTGATTGGTTTTTTTATTCTCTCGCAGGAACAGTAAAGTAGTTTCTCATTCTCTTCGATCACAACACCTGCTCGCGCGCCTCCGCATGTATTTCAGCTCGATCATGACCGAATTTGATCCGGCGATTTAAATGATTTTACACACCTGTCGGCGCGCGACGAGTTACGCCTTACGGGCGTGAAAAGTCGGTTTTTTCCCTGGTGCCTGTTGCTCTCGTTCACCGGCCATTATTATTTTACATTGAAAAAATGATGCCAAAGGGGCTTCCGATGTAATCGTATACGTCAGTACGTTGAAGAAACTTGTAAACAGGAAGATACAGCCAAAAGAAAGACTTGTCCTATTATTACATTTATGCTAATTATCACATTTTTTTTCTAATTAATTTTTTTTATCAAATCTTTAACGCGATTATAATTTTTTTTAACGAAAATTTGACCCAACTTAAATCCTCAAATTTATGAATCGTAATTAGATATATGTTGGATGTATCATAATCGATAAACACATCTCTGCGTCATCAATTTTTTGTCGATTTGATCGAAGGTTTTCGGATTCGTTGCAGAGTTTTTCGGCGCGAGGTGTGACATGAAGAATTCATGACGGGTTTTTCGAACGGCGTTATCGGCGATTCTGACGTCTCGATCGTTACGAAGATCTCGGGACGGATCCTACGGCTTCCTCCGAATAATCGGACCGCATTCCTGCACCGACGTTGCTCGCCCGCGAGGATAGGTAATGCGAAACAAACACGATTATGCCGATTTCGTGCGCATACCTCCCGCAGAATCAAATTCCACAAATCGGGAATGGAATGAAATCCGGCCAAGAATTTCACGTAAAATAATGCCCATTTAATCGAATTCGACGAAACGTATATATTCTTATTGATATGCCTTTGTAATATGCATATTGATTTTACCGTGATCTCTCTAATGTGATTTGAAAATAATATCTCGCACTAAATTCTTTTAATTTAAAAGGAAATTGTAATATAAAATAATTTTCAAAAATACATACATATTAAAAAAAAATGGACAAAATATGTTTATTTCTACATATTATTAAAGAAATTTTGATAAACTGATGACATGATTTCAATTTTACTGAAGAATTTTTATAAAAAAAAATACATAATATTAGAAATTCTAATAGTAATAAAAATGATTCACGATTAAAAATTGAATCAAGAATACACGTCGTTTTTAAGTCACGTTGGCTATAGTTACTTATTCTCTCTCTTGGCATTTCTCGTCGGTTACGTTTCACTTCTCCGCCATGGTACAACTTCCATTGTATTCAGAAAAAGCACGACGTCCATTCCCTCGGCGCAATGACCGACACTTTTAATGGCAGGCAATTGTCACTTATTAGCGTCGCGGCGTCACAAGTAGGGTTCCCTACGCCACGAAGGGTCCCGATTGGCCCTTCCCAACACATCGGGGCCCAACACTACATCGTCCTACAACGGCGCGCGACGAGCACGTCGCCCGAGGCTTCTCGGTGGTGCCTTTGTTCGTCCCATAATGAATTCAGTAAGTTTTGTTGAGGGTGGTAGTTTCCTGCTGGCACCCTCAAAATTGAGATCGTTGCGCCGTGGATGAGGTGGAAGGGGAGAGAGAAGGACATGGAAGGGGAGGGGGCAATTTATGAACCGACGCTTCCTTTATGAGGGGGCGGCTGCGGGCCGCGACTGAATTTTAACCATCGCTTTAGATGCGCGATACTTATCCGTCGCCACATTTCTGCAAAATAAGATAGACGGCGATCGTTTCGCAAAACTGTTGTTGCCCGATCGCTTTTGAGGTGTGAACGCATAAAATGAGCATTATAAAGCCTTTGAATCTCCGTGAACTTGTCGCGGCATTAATAGCAAAATTAAAGAGCTCTATTTATTTCCTCAATTTTTATTTACTCACCATGTGGGAATTTTTATTAATGCACTAAAGATTATTAGATAATACTTGAATTTTGCATAAAATGCAAATAATTGAAATTATCTTCCTTATTGAATGAATGTGCTCAAAGCTGCCCCTCTAGCATCTAGGATTATTCAAACTATCGTCGAATATATCAACAGTCATTGGGCATATCCGCATAGCTACCGCTGATATATTAGATGGCCAAAGGGGGCTAATGTTGGAACAATGGGCAATCGCTGGATATACATACCCCCAATGATTGTAGCCATCGTTGATGTAACAATTGACATGCATTTCCAGCGAATGAGCACATGTGCGATTGGAAATGAGCCGAACATAATGATATTCCCACGGAAACATTTTAACAAAGGGCACCTCCTCCGCTCGCCGATGGCTCTGTTTAAAGATACATATGCTTGCTTGCACTGAATTCTTGTAAGTGCAAAATACTGCGGGAATCTGTCGAGTATCCGGCGAACGAGGAGAGGCTTCACGTGGACCGCGTTCATGTCAGTCCGGTGCAACGAACTCTGGCGTTGCACGAGTAACGCGCGGCGAGAAAGCACCTTTCTTCCCCCGAGAGCCGGATGCCGCGCACACGTGTGTGCGTGTGTCCCTCGTCCCCGTCCTTCCCGCCTCGTCTTCTTTTCTTTTCGCGGGAAGAAGAGCCGGTGCGGGGCTGTAAATCAATCGCCGCGAGACAGAGGAGAGCGAACGAGCGCGCGGAAATCGCACGGTGGGCCGGGCTTAATGCCGGTTCGGCTCGCGTGTTAAACACCAGTTATCTTGCCGATCGGTGAGTTTTACGTTTGCCCTTAGCCCAACTGGTCGCGTGCTGGCTGGTGGTTTCAGATCTTCATTGGTGGACCCTGGGCTCCTGCGGAACGGGCGGAGCTTGGGCTTCGATATCTCGATACGCAACGCCGGCCGTTTAACCGCTGCCGTTTCCCCTCATCCTCATCTTCGCTGCTTTTCGTGCTGGATGGCATTATCAGTCGAGGAGGAATCGTCCTGTCGATCCTCGGCAATGTTCGATGTGGATGCGATCGATCGGTGCAAGTTGCATCCGCGTCACGAGATACATATGAGGATTCTTTTTCCCACGACCATTTAAAATACACACACACAGCAAAAAAAGGACATTCTTGTTTTGAAAATATATTTATTTTTAACATGGAAATCTTGAAATGAGATTATATTGCGTTAATTAAAGAAAAATATAATTGCTTGAATAATTGCCTACTTGAACGAAGCCATTTTATATAGTTCAATCAAGAAAAATATATTCTTATGATTTAAGATTTAATTTTATCTTTTTGTGATTTATTTTTTTGCGATTTTGTACTTTCATTAGGGATAAATAATAGTGTATATTATAAAAAATGAAAGAGAAATCATAGGATTTCATACACAGAAAAAAGGACATTTTTGTCTTGAAAATATATTTAGTTTTAACGTGGAAATCTTGAAATGAGATTATATTGCGTTAATTAAAGAAAAATATAATTGCTTGAATAATTGCCTACTTGAACGAAGCCATTTTATATAGTTCAATCAAGAAAAATATATTTTTATGATTTAAGATTTAATTTTCTTGGAATGGAAAAGAAACAATGTTAGATAGAAAATAAATTATTTTTAAATCAAAGATTATAATTTTCTTAAAGTAGAATTAAATAATTATATATTCTCGAGGTGACAATTACAATATTAAAATAAGACTATAATATTGTTGAAATTTAAAATTTTGATTTGACACTTGTTTTTTTTTTCTGTGCACAGATGCAGGTTTATTGTGGGAATAATTTTGGTCGCGTATCAGTTATCGACATGGTCATGAGAAAATTATCATATTTTTGGAGCCACTTAGGCATTTACTTGTAAGGGATCAGAGTGATTAAATATTTTTAGATTTTATTAAATTAAATCGATTTAACAAGTAAGACAACGTATGAAAGAAACAAGTGCTTCTTCCTGGTCGGTTGCAACATTACGTTTATGTTTGGTCTCTTTCTGTAAGGCTCTCTGCGATTTTGCCTAATGCATGACATTTCTCGGCGAGCGGGGTTTTCTGATTAGGATATTAAGAATTCAAAGGAAACGAATGCCGACGTTCGTTCCGTCGTGACATTACCGTCCCGCTGCTGATCGTCCTTATCTAAGCTCGTCATTGCACTCGCAGATAAGATTCGTAAAAGTCCCGAACGGACTTTAATTAGTCGGTGGCCTGTTAATTAAGCTACATTCGAAAACATCGTAAAAACAGATAAACATCACCAAGGGAAGCCAAGAAACTTAACGCAAGAAGTACATTGATCGAAATTAAAGCGTTATTGGAAATAATCAGACGCGATAATGAGAGAAATTTATTTTATATCTTACAAATGGCATTTCATGCCATTGAATTGTAATACATTGTGAATATATTTTAGAAATTGCATATTTTTTATTCTTTCTGTTTTAATACTTTTTTCTGATTGCATAAAAAATAATATTATCTTGTACATAAAAATTTCTAAAAACTTTTATCCATTTTACATGATTTTATCGTTATATATAAGTGTTCTATTTTCATCACATATTTAAATGTCCTAATTTCCTTGCCGTGCATAACTGATCAACAAGATTCACACGTTTAGCTTAAATCGGATTGTTCGTGCACATTGTGCAAATTTTAAATTAAACTGCAAATGCGATCGTCCTTTATGAGGGCAACAAAGCAGGTTTATGGTAATCCGCGTTGTTAGCGTCTACGTGCACTTCAGTTAACAAACAACAAGTGTGCAACAACTGTGTCAGTAGTATACTTAATTTAGCG